TCTAACAATGACAAATGAGCATCTGTTATTAATATTAAACAGCAGATGATTGTATTTGACAGTCAATTGTTTCCACATCTCTTACAGACAACATTGATACCTACATACGAGACTTTTAACAGAATGAATTATGTTCACAGTTTAAAGTAACCAAAGTCATCAATTTACTAAATTGTGACAAATGAATCGGTCGTATTTGCATTGTTGACACGAACCCAACAAGTGGTGAACTAGGGGATTGTATTCAAAATCACTACGCTGAAAGCTATGGTCGTTGCACCTGGTTTACTCGACCGTGTAATTGGTACGGCCTACGCCTGCTTGTGTTTTTGTTGTGGCTGTATAACTTGCTAATGAAGTCATTGTCAGGGATATCCACAGAACATATAAAGATGTTCTGTGGGGATATCAATGGGAATCAAAGGAAAGGTACAAAAACCATTAAATGAGGTTATAGCAGAAGTGAGGTAAGAATTAGCAAAGTGTAATTTCCGAAAAACTTAACCCACAATGAAATTGTTTTACGATCCGATGAATCTGTGTCATGTAATAATAACTTTTGTTAACCACATTAGCTTCACATGGGTTGAAGACAAACAATTCTTAAACGTCATACGTCAGTGCGATGACGTAAAATACACATATGAGCCACAGAGTGCTTTAATCACATAATTATATTACGCAAGGGACCAATAAATGACAGAGAAATACTAAATGTAACCTGTTAGTAATTATTTTGAATCCGTGTTCATAAAAGAGCTTTCTTGTAACACCCACGTAAACTTCCAATTAAGTACGATAAAATTTCTAAAAACCGTAAAATTCTGATGTGATTATCGGAAGACAAAAATTACTCATGCCATTAAAAAGTATATCGTAGTCATAAATTGGTTTTATGCTTATGAGCTGTCATGTGTAACTTCTCATGTCTGATATCATTTACTTGCATATGGCAGTTGGGATCACTATAAATTAGAGAGGAATTTTAAGAAGCAAATAGGTTAAAGTTTCACACAATCACACTTCCTATGAAAGTACAAAAAGAATAATTAGTTTAGAACATCAATGTCCATTCAGAAGAGTATAATTTGTCTTTATAAACTGACATTTGGGATCTGTACTTGTTTGTAGAATACATGATTGATGATATACCACGTGTTTCGTGCGAGTAAATTAATGAAAACGGCCTCAAACTTATTACGAAATAATAATTTCAATATGTCATATGCATGATAATTTCTGGCGCCACTACGCCAGTCATGACTTTATGGAGAATCTTAATGCTATTAAACGCACATAAAGAACTGGTTGACGATAAATTTCGTACCAATTAAATATAATGTTCAAAAACACACCGGTCCAAGTAAAGCTTACATTTTATGACATGGCTAGTTCGACAACATGTGGGGATATGAGGATTACTTGAAGTGTTAATAATTGAAACTGGCGTTCTTGTAAAAGATTACATAATAAGATTACAAGCAGTATAAACAGGATTTCATTTAACTCTATGGATCAAAGGTTTATTTTACTTCGGCAACAAATTATGGACCCTCGCCTAGTTGAGATCACCCAAGAAAGGGGCGCTAGTTTTATGTGGGTAGTTGCGAATTGCAGGTCATTGGCCTGATGCCCACATATGTGGGTGCCTTGAGAAACTAGGTTTCATTTTAATAGCCTTTTTGTATGTAGTAACCACAACTGGCATGTCAGAAATTAATAGGTAATTTGTTACTTTTCATACATAGACTACATAATAGCATTTACAGATGTTTTCTTAATCATGGAATATTTCAGGAGATAAAGTACTGGTTTTTTTTTTTAACTAATCACATATTTACTAATGGTTAACTAATCACATATTTTGCATCTTAGAAATCGAAAACTTAAAATGTGTTATCGAAAAATTCTAACGGATATTTATTGTATTGAGACCATTTAGAGAAGTTAGATTCTAATTTTAGTTAACTCACGCCAAAGTGTCATATGCAAATACCAGGCTGTTAGCCGGCGACAGACAGTATGCTAATTCGACATATCCATCGCTTGATCTAGGCCACATTTCCTTTGGGGAAGAGTAGATAAAATAGCAAATGGTGACGTATTTGTCATGTGGCACGAGTTTATTTTTTCTTATTTCGGTTTAAAACAATGAAAGCATATTTCAAACATCTTCTATATTGTTATTTGTTGACAAACTGTAGGTAGATGTTTAGATGAAGAAGCATACATGTAAAGTGTATAATAAACAAACAAGATTAGATCTGTTTTTAATGCATATTAGTTAATAAAATGCTGTTATCTTTTAGAAAGTTAGCTTGGAGAAGGCCACAACAATTAACCACGTTTATGATTAAGATAAGCACGCGAACTAAATTCAGTTTGGAAACTGATACAGGGTGCTACAGACAGGCTGTGGTTATGAAATCTCTGACACGCAAAATATGCGTAAGGTCACAGGTTAAACACGCAATGCAGTTGTAATACGATAAACGTGTTGTACCATTACATCGGTTGAATGCAATTATCGAACAAAAATTATAGTTTCTATTGTACGATTACCCTTGTCTACCGATTGCAGTTTCCAATTTGTATTTTAAGGAAAAATGAGGGAGATGAAGATAGTTGATGTAAAAAGTTATTAGTTTGATTAATATTCAATTGATGACTTTGGCGACGGACGTGCGTCGTGTGCCACTGCCGATGTGCATGATTAAGATTCGTCGTGAATAACAAGTATGACAGAATTTTAAATTGTTTCGGTCATATTCGTTTCATTGTCATGCGCGTGAGAGTTTATAGCAAATAAGAAAAGTGAAACGGCCGTAAAATAAAGCCATAAAATACTGGCATATAAAATTTATTACCATTATCAGCAGATTCTGCAATATTAGCAATAATATTGTTTATTTTATAGTATCTAACCCTACAGACAAATCAAATTCACTTGCTGGTGAGCTAGATTTAACAGAAATGTTTAATTTATTCATAAGTGACTGAAAAAGTATCCAGTATTTTACGATGAGGCTGTTTAAATATCATAAAGTAAAGAAAACATTTTTTTGAACCCAGCCAAGCAAATTAAAACTTATAATCAATCGAGACACCATTATTTTCGGTTCTGGATACTTAAACGGAACTCGCAAACATAGCAATGAATGACAATGAAGACTGTCATAATTTTTGATGAGCTATTAGTCCAAAACTTTGACCGTTATACTGTAAGGTTTCACATCGTGGTTATATTGCATCCGCTACAATTTACCACAATTTCGTGGTGTGCAGGTACCTACTAGAGTAAAGTTAAGCAAACGGGACTTGTTATTATTTTAACGAATTACACCGTAATACTAGTTAAATCTAAAAGACCACATCTATCTACGTGGGTTGAAGTTTGTTTATAGTAGTATATGATAATTATACTAAAACTGAGAAAGTAACTTCTAAATCAGAAACAATAAAAGTTTTTGCTAAAAGCAAGCAAAACAAAATTTGAATAAGGATACCATATGCTTGATCACAAGGTGTTCCCTTACAGTGTCCTAAACGCAAGGTGTGGTAGACATCTGCGGCCAGTTGCGGTCGAATCACGGTTGAATCAATGCAAACACCTGTCGCGGTGCCGTAATTTTTGGTTTCATTTGATGGGTTTGGCATAACGATAGTTTGTTATTGTAAAATGGTTTATAAATGTAATCGCTATTAAAGTAAATCTATATTTGTAGAAAATACACCTATTACGGCAAGACATCTTTATGTAGTGATGTGTGTTATGTTTACTTACAATATACATTTTATTACAAATTTAAATTCTTAAACCAGCAACTATTAACAATTTAGCTCACCTCTTGAGAGCTGTTTGCGAATTGTTCCCATTTAAATTTTACGCGTTTCCCAGCCTTCTGGCATTTGGGTCATCTGGATCGAATCCAAAAGATTTAGTTTGACACCGAAGAAAAATTAGTTATGTTTACAATACGACTTTGTTTCATGTAACGGTGGAATTTATGATGGACTAGTTGATTTATTTTGCAAATCCATTATTTCCGATGTAATGAACCTTCTTTTTAAAAACGTTGTGATGTACAAACTTACGACACCGGCCTGCTTTTAAATAATCCAAGTGTTTATGATATATTTGAGCAATTACGGATGGCAGTATTACAAAAGAAAAGATTGAAACAAAAGAGAGAGAGAAAAACAGTGTACTAAATAATTGAATGTCATCGGATTCTTACAGCTCTCAAAGGAATACAAAAGGCTCACATAAGAAAGCTTTTTAATTTTCACTATAAAACAATATGTGAGACTTTTATTGTTCTTCCAACCTGAGTGATGAGAATATGCAGATGCTCGGGGAAACTCTTTTTGTGCGGGATTGATGTTTGAGACATATACATTATTCATGGAAGATATAAAGCAAGAAACTTGATCGGACGAGAAACCGTCGTGTATGCTGTATGTTTGTGTGTATGAAAAGATAATACTTAAAGGTATAAGCGGTGTAATATGTAGATATACCTATTGCTGTTGTTGTATGTATCTAGGACGTCATGTCACCCTGTTTCATTTGGTGATGTAATTAGGATCTTATAATAAGCATAAATTCAACGGAGTTACGGTCGCGTGTCGTATCGTCTCCCTTAACTTTAGGTTGGAAACAAAGAGGGCAGGGTGTGAGGCCGGGGTGCGATGCGTCATCGCGACCACTCCGCCACGCACCCCCTGCGCACCCTCGCCCCTCGAAAACATTGATCGATTCCTCCACCACAAATGCCATGCGCAGAGCCCGCCCTTTTTGTTTATATTTTCTTTTATTTTCATAATTTTATTTAGTTATTTGTAATTATTTTACTTATCGGGATCAATATTTACTCAAAAATTTTATGATACAATGTATGAGTATTAAAAAAGTATGGTTGATGATTTCACAGATGATATCATAATACCTAATTACACGCTCTAATTAACAGTTAATTAAGTGCTAAATTGGTACTCACTGGCATTCGTTCATGATCTCCTCCTGGCTGCGAACTTGCACTGGAGCCAACTTCTCCACGCTCTCTTCATAGTTTCCGAAACACTTGGTGATCTTCTCATCAAATGTGTTCACCAAATCTTCCAGTGAACCGGAGAAAGTCTCCGTGAAATTGTCTCCTTCGCCGTTTTGCATAATATTGTCCTGTTTGCACTTCACCGGTTTAGGTTCCTCATTATCGTTTATTTTGTTGGAGTCAGTTTTCATTTTGACCATTTCACTTTTGACATTTTTAATGTTGTTAAGACGTATGTCGTTACCATTTATGGTTTTTTGTGGGTAGTCAGCAGTGGAAAGACAATCGTCTGCCTCTTCGATTTGCGCGAGAGGCGCTTCGAACTCGAGCTCGGCCATTCTGCCAGCCGCTTCTCGCATGCCGTACAACCACTCGCGTTGTTGGACGCGCGTACACTGAACGCCGCCGACCGCTTGCAGCTTGATGCTTTACGCCCGCGCCGCGCCGTCCCTCGCAGAACTGAGTTTATGAAGTCGATTTCATACGGCGAACCCGGCAGCGATAGATAGAAGCTTACATTTTGTGCTTGTAAAGTATTTGCTTCGTTGCTTAGCTTGAAAGTCTAACAAGTTCTGAATTTCTAAATTCTTTCAAGGTATTCGGCACTGCACCTTCTTGTTATTTTAATTACAATAAAGTATGTTTTTTAAATAAAAATCACCATCATTTAAGGAAAATGCAAGAAGAGATTGATTTTGAATTTAGACAGAAGAGGTTGGTATGTCACAATCGTATCCATCATTAGGTGATCCTTTTCCTTTCTAAGAAGATTGAAGACAAGTGTGAAAAATTTTTATGCACTACATACGTACGTACCAATAATGTAGTCACATATCAAAGCAATAAAGCAATAAGTAGGCATTTTCTATCTATTTAACGAATTTAGCAAAGATTTCAATAAAAAGTTACATATAAGGTGCCTTGGGGTAATATCGGACGGATTTTCGAATAGTTGCAAGGATGTTGCAAAAACTTTTTTTTCTGAAATTTGGTACACAGCACATCGATGAAAAATAGTGGAATCACTAATGATTCAACACAGTGTAATTTAAAATTAAATTTATTTATAAACACTCAATACTTTTTGCTTTATAAGCCTGTGAAATCTGAACATATTTTTTGTAAATGCAATGACGATTTGGCTATCAAGGGGTAAGTTCGGACAACAATTTAAAACTAGTCCTATTGCTAGGAGCACAAGGTGTATGAAAAGAATGTATCCGATCTTTCCTGTTCTTTAACATGACATCAAAAAAAATTACCTAATACTACAGACATAGATGTACCAAACTATTATTTTTTTTGTGTGTGTAATTTGTACGATCTTACCCCAAAGTCCAAATTTAAAAGAAATTAGGATTCTCAAAGTTTGGTTTTACCCACAAGCATAGTACCAAAAAGGAAAAGTAAGCGAATATTTAAGCGTTATAAAACTGAAATACTGTGCGGCTGGTAGAGAAATGAAGGGAATCGGAATGTTCAAATATTAAAACGAATTAATAGTAGTATAAAACATTATATTCTAATAATATGAAATGTAGAAATCACTAACAAGGAATGAACAAAATTATAATACTATATGTAATTAAAATTCGTCTATAGAAAAAAAGGAATTTAAACAAAACAATTATACATATTAAAGAATTGACAGTTCTTGTAGACATTTCAGGTTAATTAAGTTAAACATCTTCTATTATCAAACTGAAATCTTTATTAAACTGAACCGTCTATGACAACGATCTAGAAAACAAAAATCAAAACAATAACAAAAATCTCTATCAAAATACACATTTTTGGTTTTTAGTGGCAGTTACTAAGTGTAGATGTAGGTATGCCGTACATTTTTGAAGCGGCTGCATAGGAGAGCTCCATAATATTTATTTTCTGAATGACCAATTGCAGCAATTCTTTGTATAGGTCTGGCCCGCAAAGAGGTTCTAGAGTATATACGTGGCATCTGCAAATGAATTGTTGTTATAAGTATCTATTCATTTAAAATCAATGTAGGTAATCAAGAAAACAGATAGCTGTAGAATCAAACAGTGTGACCCTGGATTTTAAGCGCCATAATAAAACGATTACGAACACATTAAGTAGATATTTAAAATGATGTGTAATAAAAGTTTGAAAATCACTGGCAATTTAGAAACGGGATAAGACCGGATATTTTTGTCCGATCTTTACTCGTGATGGGTAACACCGGATTTCAGCCCACAGATGTAGTAGCCGTATCTGGATGAGTTTTATCATATTATCACTGCTTAAAACTTAGAATTTAAGCAAAACAAATCCAAAATAAGCTATACTTTTGCTAAAATATGTAAATTAAAATGCAGGTGAAAGATCGGATAAACAAATATTTTATAAAACTTACATTGTTTTCTCTAACGGCGCGTGGTACACGTCCAAGTAGCTGGAGCGACTAGCGATCACTGCTAGGCGGGGTGAAACATAATGACGTTGCGGGCAATGTGGCTAACATTAAAAAATATGGCCAAATAAGTGGTATATTTGATTCCTACGTTCTTACCCCAGCGCCGATCTTACCCCAACACACCTTACCTAGGTACGGTACCTAGTTAAAATTTGTTTATGTCGTCAGCAACGGCAGCAACGGTAAGTCTATAAATATATACCTACTTACCTAATTAATTAGGATGCTCACAGACTCACAGGTTTAGTTTATCTACCTACCTACTTATACCTTTTTTATGTACTTTAAACTACACCCGTGAAAAAAAATTATCTAATTGAAGGTTAGCTCTTGCTATATATATATATAGTATTTTATAGGTACATACCTAATAGCACAGTCATAGTTAAACAAAAAGTAAAGTGGTTTTGTTATTGTTAACTGTTAAATAGACTCTATTCGACAAATTGCAAATTGTAAAGCAAAATTTTACGCGCGCCGCAGATTGACGTTTTTAAGTTAGTTGCCATAAATTAAAAAGTATAAGTTCATAGAAAAGAAAAGTTTCATAGTTTTAAATTTTATATCTTTGTAAGTATAATTATTTATTGCTTCTCTGGAATTTATAACAACTAATGAAATTTGTTTTAAATTAAAACATTTTATTAAATCTAACGAAGTATTTCAGTAAAACTGATCCACAGAAATATTTCGCGTATTTTCATTATGGTAGCATTGTCACTTCACAATGTCAATCTTGATTTTGACAATAACATTCATCGTAACGTCAAGATCGGGACTAAAAATGGATATTGCAAAATAATAACATGAACAACTTTCAAAATATTATTAGGTAGATAAATTTTATCGGGTAAATCGTTATGTTTTTTTTTAAACGATTTTATGACATCAATGCAATAAAGGCGTTGCTGAGGTGCTACAGGTAAAAAACAAAAATCATAACAGTCACGAGTTCCAAAATAAATCACATATTTAATGCGTCATTTATTTTCAGTTTAAGCAGAAAAAATCATTATGAAGTCCTCAATTTACGAAGAAATTGTTCCGATAAAGAAATCAAGGAAGCTTTCATACAAATGAGCAAAGAAGTAAGTTAATTCTTTCGTAAAATGTAATGCTTTTTATGTAAGTCATTCTCCTTTGTTCTTTCACATTTTCGCGATATCGAAAGAACATCAGCTTTTATAACAATTAATATCCTATTATGTGTACAAAGTTGAAACAATGTAAATATTTTTCTTAACCAATTATAAGTAAATTGAATAACCTGTAGTCTGCTTAAACATAGTCCTTACCTAGCAAAATTTTGATACGCTGTGTGAGAACAATATGTTCCATGTAGAACAATGTGTTCATCCATCAGTATACCTATGAGATCTTTCTATTAGCTGTGACAGTAACATTATTGGTGAATTTTAAATTTTCCGTCTTTAACAGAACTAGTGCTGTTCAATATATGCCAGTCATTTTTGAGATTGATTTGTAAATACTACAATACCTAAGTTAGGAAAATAAATACTGTTTAATAATATGGTGTTTTGAAAATTTTGTTTTTTAATAACACAGTAACATCCGCTTTTATATGAGACCCATAACATGAATGGTTAAAATTAAATGGACATGGTATGTGCACCTTTGCTTCCTCCATCGAGACATAAAAGGTGTGAGAATAATATGATTTATGTATATGATTTGTGTTGTTTTGTAATTATAATATTTTCAGTTCCATCCTGATAAAAACAAAGATGTAAGGGCACAGGAAAAGTTTGTGCGTATTGTGGAGGCGTACAATGTGCTTGGGAAGCCCAATAGTCGTGCGCAGTATGACAACATGATAGAGATAGAAACTTCTGGCTCCTCTTATATGTATAGACAACATGTGCCATACAAGTAAGAAAATAAATGTTTTTCTTATTAATTCATTAATATTTTTTTGTTAATTTTATGGCCGAGTTCAAAAGTAAGGCTGATCTGTACTTTTGAGTTAAGGATCTTAACAAAAAATGTTTATTCTAGTTTACTGGTGTGTAAATATAAGCAAAACACAATCATTCTCTAGAGAGGCAGTCAAGAGGGATAACAATTATCCCCACTTTTGGCTAGCAGTTTTAAATTCTGTTTTAATAACTCATCATTAACAGCCTATAAATGCCCACTTCTGAACAAAGCCTCTTCTCACACCGAGAAGGTTCGAGCTTTAATCACCATGTTTGCATTAGCAATAGCGGGCTGATGATTACAAACTTATAATTAGAAACTATAAGCGCAGGATTCCTCACGATATTTTCCTTCACCGTTTGTCAGTTTTAATAATGATGTATGATGAATTAATCAACTATGAAATGATTAACAAATAATTATCTATTCCAGTATCCGCAAGAACCCACAGTACAGCTCCTACTACGAAACCCATGCAAGGACGTCCAGCAGGAATGAAAACACAAATAATAATTTCTATGGTGTGGCTGGAGTAAAGAAATTACCAAACTATGTCATCATTGCTATGTGTACTGGGGTGGCCCTGATTGGAGTTTTCCTGCAAGTGTTTGTAATAAGGTAACTTGCTTATTATATCTGCTGGCAGTACTTATATAAAGGTATTTTTAACAAGCATTATGTGACTTTTGGAAACTAATTGTGCACCAATATAGACCAAATGCGGCAATGCCAGAAATGTTTAGGTATGTACTGCTTTATATCCGGTATGCAATGGCTACACACGGTACACCTTATGATTTAACTGTGCAGTTTTATCTGTACAGCCTGTCTGTTCAGTTAAAACGGAAGGTGTGTAGCCTTCGCGGGTTTCATTCCCGCACGTTGCAACTCTTTGTGTGATTCAGAAATTGTTGTTCCTGGTCTGGGGGTCATGTGTATGTGAAATTGTATGTTTGTAAACGCACCCACGAAACAAGAAAAAATCCTAGTGTGAGGCAATGTTTAAAAAAAAACAAAAAGCAAGATATGCGTCAAAGACTATAATTATGTATTTGTGTATTTGGAGCACATTTCATATATCATATACTCATCACATACTTCACATACACACATCACATACTTATTTCATGTCAACTTTAGTATCTATCTGTTTCCAACAAGTCATATTGTCGCTTCATTCGACCTAGTTTACACGATAGTAATTACCGCGCGTTGCGTAATTCTGCCATTATTATTTACTTAATAGACGTACATAAAATTACATCTTTCCTCTCAAATTACATAATACAGTCCAATGCACACTTTTTACTCACTTTTATTCTTTAGTTTGATCAGTTCGATTTCTTTATGGCCAATATGAGCAAGCTTATAGCACACTTATTGGGACATACAATGGTCACAGATGTAGAATATCGTCGGCCTAATTTGTTAACCTGCTAAGTCTATTTTGACATAGTTTACAGGACAAAGAAAAAACTGAATAAAATCTCTATTAATTTAGCAATCAAAATTCTGAAGATCCAATTGGTTCCTATAATTTTTCTTGATATTTTAACAATATAATAAATTGCAAAACTTATACACATTTTATAAAAATCAAAAAAACAATTACTTAGCAGTTTTTCGAGGTGAAATTTCAATTTGCTTAAGGAGTTAGCAGTTTTTGACTTTTTATCTAGTAAGGTGTATAGATTAATTATGCAATGAAAAGAATTCAATCAGTAATCAAAATATTTATTGTTGAAATCTATAATTAACATTAATTAAAAATCAGTCTTAGAATCAGTAAATGCAATGAAACAATACAATCAGTTATCAAAATATTTGTTATCAAAATCTATAATTAACCATAATTAAGAATCAGTCTTAGAATCAGTAATAATAACGAAAAGTGTATTTAAACTTAAACTTTTATTCTACTCATGAGGCAAATCGTCATAATATTTATGGTAGTCGCAAGGAAGGGTCTTTTTTATTTGCTGTAAGTCTTCAAATTTCCTTGCGGTAATTTTACGTCGGCTCCGGTGCAATTGAGATAGTTCAGTAATCTCGCAAGGATTACATTGCAGAGATCGCCTTTGTGGTAAACTTTGCCATTCATCCTTAAGGCAAGTTTTATAAAATATAGATCCATTGCTTTCGTAACGTAGTGCACGAATATCAGTCACCTTAAGGTCCCCTTTCGATCTTCCTGGGCGAATACTTTTATAAAACTGAATTTTGTCGAATTTTTTGAAGTAAGTGTGGTCCAAATATGTCACGCAATAGGGTGCTGGGCATTTACGAGCATGCTTAACAATAGATATATATTCAGCGGGCACATTTATGACTTTGTTCTTTAGGTGACGTTCTATAGTGGAATGCATAGAATCGGCCTCCATTTGGGTATGACCCACTTCTAAAAATTTTTGTTCGATAGTAATATTCTTGTGCCTCATGACAATATTCAAAAGAGCGTTAGATAAAATACAGTTTCTGTTCTGATAAGTGCAACCATCACTGTAAATTATAATTGTTTTATTCCCATCGTCAGCATTAATTTCAGGACGTATTATTTTATTTTCTAAAGAGTCAACCCAAATGGAGGCAAATTCTTCAGCATTAAGTCCACCTTCTACTTCGTTCCATATGAAACAGTAGCCATCTTTATTTTTTATATTAAAAAAGCAAAGGTTGTGAACTTGCAACTTCGTTTTATAGTATAACGTACTAACATTCGATTTTGGTGCCATTAGTACAGCCTGTAAGTCCACTGTGAAAACGTAATTTTCTCCCTTCTTATCCGCATCTTTTTCTTCTCTTGCTTGTTTACTTCGCTCAATATGTTCTTTGTATTCTTTTTCTGTTACTGTTCCTACTTTATAACTGGCGCATTTTTCGCATTGATCTTTTTTCGGCTTAAATAGGGCCAAATTTTTATCTTCAAATAAATTCGAAAACAAACTGATGGAGAGAGCTTTCATATTTCGGTCTTTGCACCAATCGTTAACGTAAAATTGGTAGAGGCTTTCTTTAGAACTCCATTCTGGCAATAAATACAACTTCTGTGACGTCGCTCGACAATAATGAGATTCCATTACAGGAAGAGACTCCAAAAACTGAATAAGGGATTCTTTCGGCTCCGACGCAGTTTCAGATGATTGTGTGGAACGTCTCAGCATACTAGGAGGTCGAATTGGAAACTCCTTCTTCCAATTTTGAACCGTCCATCTTCCTAAATCCAAAGTGTTCAAAAACATTTTTCGACATACTTTGACACTTTGATCATTTACTTTTAAATGATAAATAAAGGTGTTAGCCCTTTTGGTTGTGCCTTCAGAGTTTCGGTTTCGTGGCCGGACAATCGGAATAGTTGTTACCCATTCGTTAACAAGGGTTTTTTTTTCGCCCCAACTAAGACTCCAAAATTTATTAAAAATGCTTCTTCTTACATCTTCGTCTATTGTTTCACATTTCAAAGTACTGTACTTCCCAATTTTACAAGAACATCTTGATTTCATGGACCGTGCTTCTTTGGGTTTATTATAATGTTGGAATTATCTGGTCTTGTTTTCTCTCTCTCCCAAAATATGTTTTACCTTCTTGTCTTCTTTGTTTATTCTTTTCAGCAACCCATTCTTTTTTATCAACTTTAAAACGCTTCTTTCGTTTCTTACTCTTTTTAATTTTAGCAAGCGAATCTGAGTCAGTATCAGAATAAGGCACAAGCTTGTTCTCTGTATCACTACAATCCGATATCGGTGGATTAGGTACGACGTTATGATGTGTATTTTCAACACGAGGTATACTTTCTATAGTACTGGTACTTGATTCATGAGATATTGTTTTACCTAATGTTTGAATGGTATGCGTATCGGAACTGCTTATAATATCTGGGATCAAAATCTGTGTTGCTTGTAATTCTATTTCACTTTGTGATGGTACTATAATCAAATCCTGGTCCGTGATGTAAGTATTGTGAGCATCATAACCCGACAAAATTTTGACTGAAGACAAGTCACAGAATGTAGTATTGGGAAATGTCATGTCAGGACAAATAGTATCGTCTATATTTTCTGTAATAAAAGTACTTGGTAGATCAAGACTAGTCAGTGAACCTATATTGATGTCATCATTTATCTCATAATAAGTTTTGTTGGTAACTAAATCTGAATTTTCTGGTATAAACTGTCTTGATTCGGCACATTGTAACTGAATGACTTCTAAAACGTGTATTACTTTATTTGAATTATAATCAGACTTCGGAGCTACATTTCCAGCTGTTTCAGCCACACTTTCACAAGCCTCAGAAACCAAAGCCACAATTTTTTTTCCCCGATGCATTCTGTAAGTATCGGAAAAAATCAAATCAATATCCGTTTCGTAGTTTTTAAGTTTTTAGCCTAATTATATAAGTACAGACAGAAAGACAGGCTTTATTTTATACTATGTAGTGATTTAATGAGTAACATGTTCATAATTATCAATAATAAAGCAAATAATTAATTAAAAATACTAAATTGATACTCTGCCATATCCATGTCCAAATAAGTTAATATAGTATGTAAACCTGCTAAGTCCCTAATATTTAGCTAAGGAGTTATTAAGATTAAAAACATTTGATTTTAACACTAAACGAAACAAAAACTTACAGATAAAACAATATAAACTTACCTAGTGTATAATTAGGTATATAATTCGTTGTTTACATCCTTATATATTCGCCTAAAACACCATAAGTTTTACGCGTCGCAAACGGCACGTGAGTCTGGTAACGATGTTAGTACAAAACTGAGGCCCCAACAGGATTTAACAGGTTTGCGTTGTGGAGATTGACGGGTGGTCAGAAAGCAGTTTTTCGAGCATAGGATTTCTCAGAATTTTTAGCTAATATCACTATTATTGCTTTACATTACGGTAGATATTAGATTGAACTTTTATCTGGACTAAAAAAAAAAACAGCCAAAAATGGATTTAGCAGGTTAACGAATTAGGCCGACGATATATATGTGCTGCAGCCAAGTAATTCGGTCCTAAATCGGTGGTGCCTGGTGTTGCCGGGTGACACCTATAAAAAGTTCTTGTATGCACCTGGCAAGGAAATACTTCTGTCTTATTATACGAATATTTTATTTGTTCTATTTCCTTCTATTGATAAGAAGCTAAATTTATCATTGTATATTTTCAGAAATTTATACGTATCGCAACGTAAACAAGCACAAGAAAAATCTCAACGTCTTGCAGAAGAATTGGACAAAGTCCGGGCTGCAGCTCAGACAAATGGAAATGAGGTAATTTATTGACTGTACGGTTATTCTATTACGTAGTCTGGTTAACCACAAAATGTATCATTTGTGTTATTACTAACAGTTTCTATGGCTTTGCGGCGCGCAAATCCGAAAGCGTCTTCGAAAGAGTGGTAATAAAAAGTATTTAATATAGTGGACGATATTTCGTTGTTTGCAACATAGGTCATATGTACATTTGGTTTGAGCCATTAACCTCTTGAATGCCGGTTTATGAGACACAATAGAAAATACATTGAGTCTCGCGTGGATCCACGTTTAGACACACGACGGGTTAATTGATTACAGCTTGAATTTATTTGTGTTAGCAACGTATTTGTAACCTCTCTGGTGTTGATTCGTCTGCAACATCAGAATGTTTGCCCTACAACAATGGTAGATATAAATTGGCAATAATTCACATCCATTAACATCTCTTCTTTGTATTTTCAGTTGCAGACCCGTCTACTGCTTGACAAGATCGTGGCAGCGGCGAACCCAACCGTCGCTACAGCGTCACTAGGACAGGCTCTGGCGAACGAAAAGAAGTGAATATTTTCATTTCGATAAAAAAGTAGAACAATTATTTTTTAGAACGTTTTTATAATCAGTTGACGCGACTTCAGAAGTCGAGTGATGACTAAATAATGCATTATTGTGTAGATTGAATTACCTAGTTTGTTGTTATTTATTTGTGTGATGGACCTGGTCCCTGTTACCGTTTTAAGACTTCGAGTACCAAGTTAGATTAATCCATCCATTTTTTACTATGAAAAATGTTCTGTAAAGCTGTTCTGCTATTAATAAGTAAGACAGAATACCGATGCATTTAATAATGAATCAACTTATATCAAAGCATAGAATGGCTTTATATTCGTGATAGTAAAGTCAGAATAATTTTAATTATTTCTTATTGCACTATTTTCTTTTTAAACGTCCGAAATGCTAACAGGAACCATTATAAAAGTACAGAGATTATATAAATTAAATTATATTAGTACATAATAGTTATGTACAGTGTACATTATGTAAATATAGAGTAAAAGTTGTTATATGTTTTGTAAATCTTTTGACTTTTTACATTATGTACCTGTATTTATATTGATTGATCTACCTCCCTGTATAAATCTCTGTGTACATATTAATTTGTTGATGTAGATATAGTTGTATACTTTTTTAAATAAAGACAGTATATTGTAGTTGTCAGTATTCCTTTATCGACGCGCATCGAAACTTGAATCTAATTACGGTAAAATGGGGTGAATAGGGTTTGAGTGGCGAAAAGTGACAGAAGATGGGTGAATCGATACTATAAAGAATTTCCTTATATCTATTCACCCCTCTCCTGTCCCGATTCACCTCTCGATCCCTATTCGCCCCATTTTACTGTTTTCACAACAAATTTAACCTTATGTCCACAGCGTAACGCGCAGATTAGTTCAGAGATTTAACAAGAGGCGTGGACATAAGACCGAATGCTCGAGATGAGATTTTAAAGGATAAACGTTTCGATGCGCTTCGAATCTAAACCCGTAAAAAGAAAAATGACCCTTAATGAATTAGATAGATAGTTTTAATTAAACTTTTTTCCTTGTATTTCGATAATAGAAATGACAAATGAGTGAGTTCAAAAACCGCCGTGTCCAATAATGGCAAGGAAAAGTTTGGTGATATTAAAATCTTAAAAAACCGATGGTGTTCCCGACTTGAACAAATAAAGATCAACAACATTATGTACTTAGTATTTTCTATTCTACAAAAACTTTACAGAACATCGCCGGAGGCATTCCTCACAGAATTAGGACTAACGGAGAAATCAAAACGCACAGAAGATTGGTCATATACAAAGAAAAGCGATTCTCAAGTCACCGTTCAAAACTTTATCAAAAAAGTTATGTCCCTATTACTATAAATTCAATATACATGATATTAGGAGCTATATTACAATACCCAATATCATGGAACTTACCTATACGATTGGGTTTGTTATCTTACAGGTTTGCTATGCAATATCTTTTTAAAGCTGGTAACTGAAACTATTGTTTTAGTAAAAATTAGGTTAAATTGGTCCTGTAAGCAATTTGTGGATTGCTGTTACGTAAAGTCGAATATTATATACATTTTTACATAAATATTTTTTTTTGTTTTTATTTGTAGTTTGATTAGATTCGACGGCAATTTGATAATTCATAATTTTATTCATTACTATGGCATTTCTATGCACATTGCATTTACTTTGTAAAACAAACTTGGTAGGTAGGTATTTAGGTACCTAGAATGCGCTGAGCAGTGCCACTTAGCCCTTCGTGTGTGGCACTGCGCAGTTGTCATTACAGTTTTTGCATTACTAGAGGCGCTGCGTAGCTCAATAAGTAATAAGTAATGACCAATGACACACCTCGCTACTTATGAGCACGATAGCAAAGAAAATGTCAGGGTACGTTTTCTGTAGGTGGTTAGTATGACCTGTAAATTATTTTTGAAAACGATTGAATACTAACCGAAGCCTATGTTGGTTATCAAAGGAATATGACGTATATCAAAAGAATATAAAGGTTGTCTGAAAGGAATCACCATTGTGTGATTAAACCGCTCATTGTACGCATATTTACTAGAATTGTTTGTTTCTTAAGCTACTTAAATGTGTACAATAAAGCATGTCGCACAACTCGCATATAAGTGTGAACGAGAGATCTGATAAAAATGACATCTCACACGTTTGTAATGGCCTAACTATAGGTAGTATGTCGCGGAGAACCTAACGGGTAACCGGGGCTCCGGCTCGACGTGCAGGAGAAGGAACGGGGTGGTTTTTAGTCAGTAAGAGTCTGACACTCCCTTCCGCCTCACCCAGGCGGGATCAGTCATTCGATGATTTTCCGCCTTTAAAAAAAAAAAAACTATAGGTAGTATGAAAATAAGGTAGGTACCCAAATAATTTCTATCTGCCATATACATAGAACCTAGAAGACATGAAATTGGCTCGTACTTATATACCGTTAAAGGCTATCGAATTTATTAAAAACAAACATAATATCACGCCTTTTATCCCCGAAGGGGTAGGCAGAGGTGCACATTATACCACTGTACAATGTAACACCCACTTTTTACTATTTATGTTATGAGTTCACATGTAATAGGGGGTGAGCCTATTGCCATATACCGGGCACATTTCCAGACTCCGTGCCTATACTTATTATACTCTTTGGTCCGTGCTACTACTGAGATAACATAACATAACATAACATCACGCCTTTTATCCCCGAAGGGGTAGGCAGAGGTGCACATTACAATGTAACACCCACTTTTCACTACTACTGAGAATTTTTAAAAAACCCAGTAATACTTTGCCCGACCCAGGAATCGAACCGGAGACCCCTTGCCTGGCAGTCGCACTTGCGACCACTCGGCCAACGAGGCAGTCGAATTTATTACTACACGTGTTAACATTATGCATGCTTATTGCTCACACACAATGCAACATTATTGTGTATTGCTTTGTAAATAAAAACACAGAACAGTAGGTAATATAATTTATTCAACAATATGCACTTTAGTAAAGTACAATAAACGTTAACCTTTCCCTAAGTAAGTAGGTTATGTAATAGTTATTAGGTATTTTAAATACTTAACTAGACATGTAGGATGTGTCAAGGACTTCTCGTTGGGTTAGTGCACACAAGCTAAACTTTGTTTTGTGGTCCATTGAGTAATTATCTCAATACTATGACATTGATAACTATCTATTCAAATTTTTAATATCACAACTTATCTTAATGTTTCCATCAAACCACAAACGACATTTGTAAGTCAGTATGGCTCCGTGTAACAATATCAAGATCATCGAACGAATGTTTTGTTTGTAGGTAAGGTTGTGATCGTTCGATAACTTATCTTAACACGATTAGTTCTGTTGGAGCAAACACTTCAAAAGAACCAAAACAACAATATTATGTAACAATACTAATACAGGGTAAATATAATAACCAATTTTTGGAATTTTATAATAGAACTTTGGTATAAACTCTGTCGTCGACGTGAGGAGGTTCAGGAACTATTAAAGGTTTGCCATCCATCTTGATCTCAGTGTAAGGAGCCGAGTACATGCAAGTGAAACCCAACTTCTCCGCAGACATTGCTGAGAAGGCACTCGATGTGTCCATGCGAAGTACTTTGAAACCACGTTGTTTGGCCAGCTTCCTGTAAAGATAGATATTGATATTTAGCTGTTTATCGATCTCGGAAGTTAGAATACAATGTAGTTAAAAAGGTATCGTTAGAATCGATATTGGTGCTACTGCCACTCCGAAGGCTGATTTCGAACTTTATTCTGGATACGTATAAGTGTTGTGAAAAGTAGTAGATTCTTAGATATGTTACTGTCATGTCATTTAAGCACGGTGGGATGGTAAGTTAAAATGGCTAATCTCCAGTCAAGTGTATGTTTTGTCTCCAGAACAATACAACATTGAAACTGCCCAAAAGTTTGAATCTGAAGCGAATCGTATGTTGTAGTGAAGAGATAAGGTATTGTCATGCAAATAGAACAATATGAAAGGACCGTATCTTTGACGGCTGTCGGCACCTGTCCTATTTCGACACAGTCAGTTACGTTGAGTGACCGAGTAATTAAGGGGACATGGAAATCTATTGATGAACGGTTAATGGACGACTGTTTGTCCATTTTCATATTTAAGTCATGTCATTTAAGCTATTCAAAGGCTAACAATACTTTCAGTTCCTTATTATTGTATCGTTGCGTGATGATAATCCTTAAGTTGCTTCAAAATTCCAAATGAAAATACACACTAATACACAATTACACACTAATAAATAGTGATAAGATAGATTGCGGGGATGACAAACCCTGATATTCAGTTGTAGATTATTTGGTTAGGACTAGGATTAGAAATAATGTAAGTAGTAAATATGTTATCTAAATAAGCAACTTACTCTGTAGCATCTAATAAATTGTTCATGATGCCTCGCTTCCTCCAGTTGGGGTCCGTGGCTGCAAGCTTCACATCAAGAACCTCATCCTCATCAGGGAACTTCTCCCAAAGTTTAGCACCTTCCTCTCTTTGTGCTAACACGTATAGAATCTTTGCGAATTTTGGGTTTTTGCACTGTTGAGCTTGGCTTACGTAGTCGCTGCCGTCATCTTTCTGAAAATAATAAAGGAGGCCATGTACCTATTTTTGGAGTATCATTATTGTTATTTTCTATTATTATGGTTGACTTATTAGTTTTGCATTGCAGGTTCTAGTAAAGTGAGGCCAGCGCCCAATACATTTGGTATAAAGCGTGTTAAAAGTGGATGCTGAAAATTAACGCCGTGGATCGGGACCAGACTTTTGCGCTGCGATGCACCATAGACTCCATTTTGTTTTGTGCATGTGTTCTTGTCCACGTGTGTGTCGTGGCGTAATAAAGGGATTTTCTTTCTTCTTAACAATCCTGTAGTTCTGCGGGGGTCTCTACATTGTTTGTTATTGTTACACGGCTGTTGATATTTCGAAATATCTATTAATTTTAAAGAGTTGTCTTTACGTGAACTTACTTGCTTCAAAATACACATTCCGCTGACCATTAGTCCGACGATTTTGCCATTTTTGTCGACTGCTTTGAAGGACCACCCGTCTTCATGTAGGTAGTGTGCGCAGTACTCTTCAAGCTCAGCACAGGTACCGTCACTGCATAATCCAACTGCTTGGTTCATAGGTTCGTCGATGAAAAACGTCCTGTAAATAGTGTAAATAGACACGTTTTTTAGGTTCTTCAATTTTAGTGAGAACATTTAGGTCTGGTAGGTGATGTTTTCCTATAGGAAATGTGTATAAGTTTGATGACTAGACTTGGGTTCCTGTGCCGTTTCTGAAGGGCTTTCTCTGCTTTCAGTGTTTTCCAACTTCCTGCAACACCTTGTAAATAAAACAACTAATGAGAACTTAAACACCTTTCTTGAACTAATCTATATGAATTTTGCAATAAAATAAATTATATTTCAAAATTAAGTTTCGGAGGTTTTCAGAATAACTTACTGTCGCAGTAACTGCAGAGATTCCTCCGTATCTCCAGGTTGAATAGGTTGTATTTCGTAACCTTGGTCAGCCATTGTTTCGATGCACCCTGGAAACAATTTCGATAACATCTTTAATTATACTCTCAAAGCAAATTATATAATACCTTTGCATGTAGTACTTAAATATTATATTTTATGACTTCTCGTCAATTGTCGTCCGGCTGTTAAACCAACTAGATTAAAAATTACGTAGCTACTGTGAAACGTTACACACAATTTGATCCACAGAGAATCGACGCTAGATGGAAAAATCTTACTAAAATTATAAATGCGAAAGTTTGTCTGTTAGTGTGTTTGTCATGTTTGTTACTCAACCACGGCAAAACTGCTGTAGAGATCGGGTTGAGATTTGAAACAGGCGATATAATATTATGGTCTGCAATAATACATGGGCTACATTTTATTCCACGAAAACACGGGCAGAAGTTAGCGTTAAATAAAATATAAACCAACAAGTTATTTATTTTGATATGTTCATACCTACTCATTTTATTGTAACATATGCTATGTTCTAAATGAGTACCAAAGTGCCTAGTTTAGTATCTATGTCTACTTATGTCGTGCAGAACCTAAAGGGTAAATGGGGCTCCGGCTCGACGTGCAGGAGAAGGAACGGGGTGGTTTTTAGTCAGTAAGAGTCTGACACTAAGGCGGGAGCAGTCATTCGATAATTTTCCCCCCTTAAAAAAAAAGTCTACTTATTGGACATTATAAAGTTAGGCTGGGTCAGTTTAATTTATTTACAATGTAAGACAACTTGAGCTATTTCATATCAACGCATATGTCACAAAGCATAATATAGAGTACCTAACTTAACAGTTATAAATAGGTACACAAGTACCCAAGAGTCATAACATATTGTGAATAATGATAAGGTACCTACTCCTCATTGTTCCGGTTTGTTTTTTATGTTTTCGGTGATGTCATCCATGTCTATAACTCAAGCTGTTCTTTTGTGTACAAAAAAAAGTAAATATAGTTACCTCGTCGAGCAACTATACACTATAAATACTTTATATTGATTTAAACTGAATTTGAGAGTGAATATGAAATTTATTTATTATATTGATATAAATCTAATCCAATCCAAGATACTAAATAGGCAACCAGATAATTAGGTACTGGGTTAAGGTTATGTCCATATCCAGGGTTTTTTTGAGTTACCATATCATTCAATGACTTCTCCCGCCTTAGGTTAGGTTAGAGAGGGAGTGTCAGACTCTTACTGACTAAAAACCACCCCGTTCTTACTCCTACTCTTCGAGCTGGAGCCCCGGCAACCCGTTAGGCCTTCCGCGGCCCCGTAATATCCAATCTAAGTGCATGCACGGGTTCAATTTTCTTAGGGATTCGTGGGAGGTTTAGGGGTAAAATGTAAAGGTAGGTACTTAGCTCAATAGTGTAAGTTATTATTATTATCTACTCTTCAAATCCCTTACAAAATAGTACCACTTCATGCATTAAATTTCTTTCTATGTATGATGTAACATCAAGGTTTAGGGCTAGGGTACCTAAGAGTTTGTAATTTGATCACGTGTGTATTATTAATATGATAGGTATCCTATCATATTTAGATACTAAGGTAGGTACCCAAGGTAAGTACCTTATTCTGAATTATATTTTGATAGTAATTCTATCTATAACCGTACATCTTAGTAGATAACTAGTGTTTTACGAAGTTATCTGTGTATCCAAGAAGATAATGTGGTAATATCAGACATTCGCATCAATAAATAAATCAGATTAAGTAAATGAAGATAGGTTTGCAGGGCTTTACCCAATACCTGATAGCAAATATTGTTCAACAAACACCAATGATACCAATAAACAATGTAGACGTTATTACAATAAAAAATGAGCTCTAATTCTTGACTCTAGGGTACACTTTTTATAAATCTTGTCATAGGTCATGATCTGTCTGACATTTTGTTGTTTTTAAACAAATCGCTGGATACAAATGATGGAATTTCATTACTTTTTCCCGTCGAAGTACTTAAAACGTAGTTCAATCAAGGCGAACAATCATAAATAGAAAATTAATTGTAAACATAATTACATATGCTAACTTAATCTCTATCTGTAACTTACCTAAAAACAACTCCAAGTTATTCAGTTAAGTAATCAAAAACACAAGTTCACTGCACTCTCGAATGTCAGTCAGAAACCGGAAACCTAACCACATTAACTTAATAATAAATTATTTATAAATATATTGAATTATTATTGTGATACAATAAAAATAAATCGTTCTAGCGTGCGGCTTGTGCGCAACTAGATAATATAATGTTTTGAACGTTTGCGCGCACGCATTTACATATTAACGGTGAAAGATAAAAATACTATATTTAAGGCGAATACAGTGGTATGTTTGTTTATCTTATCGTATGTATGTATATGACGTCATTTAATCCGATAACTATATATAATATTATATTTTTCGATTTCAATCGGTCAAATTATTTGTAAATTTGTTTTGAGAAGGGCTAGTAATTTCGTGCAGGATTATGTTTTATTGTTAGAGGAAGGTCCCAGTGTAGCAACTAGTCATATGATCATAGTAAACCCCACCACTACTCACTCGTATATATTTTGTCCATCAGAAAATGAGTGATGTCTGGGGGCACTGGGATCTTGGACCATGTAGTTTGACACAGATTATAAAGTAAGTATTACGTATTTAGCAGCGGTTCTTCTAATGATTTACTTTTCTTATATTTCAGTCTTTGAATTAATAAGCGTGAAACAAAGTTTCAAAACCATGAAGATTTATTGATATTATTTATAGGCGAAACCGACATCCATAATAAATTGGGTTATTACATTGTACATACAATATGCGCTACTATTATCTAGCGTTTTGCCTTATCATCAACATCATATCATAAGTTGATTCTCAGAACACGTCTCTCACAGGTCTCGAACATGTAAAAATAATAGAAGAATAATTCTGGGAAAGTAAGGTTTTCAATGGTAAAAAATATTCTAATTCGTCGTGTAGTTTTTGAACCTATTTAATGCCAACAAACAGAGGCCTTAGTACGAGTTTGTTGTACGTTTAAAGAATTCGTAACGAGTACGCCAATAAACCAACCAATCACAGCGCCGAACGCTTATTCGTTACGATTATTTTAACACGTTCGTTGCATTACGAGATCTATCAGATCTCTTGCAGAACTTTTGTATTATGCGTTGAACATAATCGTGTTGTTTCACTCCTTGCGGGAGGATCTAACATGTAAAGTTCGTTATATTTTTTTTTTGTATTTGTAGTTTATTCAAATGTCATAACTGCGTGCGAACGTAGCAATAGGCTATCTTTCACCCACAACAACTTCAAAATATATTTGATTGTTTTTTTGGAAGATATAAACTATTTTGAAAACTGTATCTTTAGGAGACCGATTAGGTCTCAAACGCACCAAATGGTAGGTTAGTTTGGAGATCTATTAGGTCTCCAAAGCACCAGCTGAAAGTTTTTTGAAAGTGATGGCGCAGGGATCGTGTTAAACGTACAACAAACTCGTACTAAGGCCTCTGTATATTTTCCGCTTTCCAATTTAGAAGATACAGATAACAAGTGTAGATATGAGCCTTAAGTAAAATTGTAGGAGTGGGGATGAGTCGCAGTGACCGAAGCTTGGCATCTCAAGTCGGTTTATTTACTAATCGTCGCGTGCGCGCCGAGATTTGAATACAATAGTGACCGGTATGCGTGACCTTTATTTTAAAGCCATAAGAACGGTTTTAGAATACTTCGATCTTCGATCTGTCTCATTATAATGTTAAGATTCTGAACATAGTACCTCGTTGTTGATTTTCCAATACCACTTTTACTTTTATCAGCTACGGATTCTTAAGAATTGATGTTTATTTTATTGGCATAGATAGAGTCTGTACTACAAGTTCTTAGTATTCTGTGAAAAAAAACAGAAATAAATAGAACTCAATATCACTTACTTGGTCGAGTCGCACACGACCAATAAGTCAGTCTCTATGAAGAACTTCTTCCTTGCCTAAATGATCGTGGTTGACTATGATGCATTTTTCTTGGTAATATCGTCCTCGCACCTCCATTCCACACCTCCATTTGTTCGTAGTCTTCAGCGAATTGAGAGTTGCTCTGAGCAGGCAGGTCCTTGTGTAACCTTTCTCATCTTCACAAAAGTAGGCATTCCTATTTCTAGTAAGGGAGTGTTTAAAAAGGTACACCATAATGTATCTTATTATAAGGCCATACAGAAGCTCTTAAATGTATAGTCTTAACTGGTAATAATCATTCTACTGTCTAAGCATGTGTGCCATATACCGATTCGATCATCACATGGTTTTTTTGCCTACCATCTGGTAACCACTGATCCAAAATAACTAAGTGCTTGGTGATAATACACATGTTTGTAAGTACTTTTAGTTTCAAGTCATTTGGCATTATAACAATATATAATAAAATGTCGTTTGTGGTTGACTAATAATGGTCTCCATTCGCTTTCTGGAAGTAGATTTGGTGACCAGGTATAATTTGCAGGTAGATCTATACAAAACATTTCCAAAATCTAGCTCTTTTCGCTCTAGGAGCCCAACAAGCTGCGCTGATGGTAAGCACAGGTTTTAGACAACATATCTAAAAAACTAAGGACTTACCCGAAGTATTGTAGACTAGCAATGTATTTCTAACTAGCTTTTACCCGCGGCTTTGCTCGCGTCACAAAAGGATAAAAAGCCAATGTGACATATGTATACCAATACACACAGCGCCATCTATACCAATACTTTTGTTTTTCCTCGAGAATATCAATTTTTTCCGGGATAAAAAGTACCCTATTATTTAATCCGGACTTCTAACTTTACGTCTGCAAAATTTGAAAGCAATCGGTTTAGTAGTTAGGGCGTTAAAGTGGAACAAACAAACAAGCTCACTTTCCGATTTATAATGTAAGTAAGGAAGTAAGGATGCATACACGCACTAAAATAATTATCACATCTGCATTAATAAATCCACGGAATAGTAGGTTTTTCTATTCCATGATTAAAAGTTTAATTAATTTGTGTTTGAGCTTAAGGGATAGTTAAACCTACAAAAGGTTTAGCTGCTTTATTTTTTGTATTGAATTTTGTATCCTATAATAGGGCTGACATTTTCCTCTACGGAAAAAACCCTTCTTATTAAATAAAGATTTAAAAAAAAAATGATTAAATCACTCAAATTAGGCATTGCATTTTGCATGGCGTTAAAGGTAGAGAGAGAGTTATCGATAACACGAATCTTTGTTACGTACTCTGAGCATACATACGTAGATGTGGAATAAAACCAAAATTGAGTCAAATCCTTTACAGATTACGTGTGTTCGTTCTACTATGTGTCTAGTTTGTTAAACATTACTCACTACATTGTTAAACATTGGTAATTTAAAATAACCTTCATTTTTAACTATAACAATTGGTAATGTTACGTTAATTAACCATAACTAGTTTGACTAATTAGTTGGTTTGAATATTTGAATACTTCACTGATAAACAGTTACAAGAGGTTTTAAAATACAATTCTGTTATACCCACGTTACCCAAATTTTTTTATTGTATGATTTTTTAAATTATATAAATATGATAATAGTATAACAAGAAAAAAAAAACCATCTCACAATATCGTCCTAAAAGTTCTTCACGAGTATCGGGGTGACATTTTCTTATGTGAAAAAGCCCTGTAAATAAATAAGGGGGAAAAAAATATTCGTATGTCCTACTATGTTATTATGTCGTTGATTTAGTCAATAAATTAGCACTTAATCAGGTACAGGTCGAACGTCTTCAGTAGATCTTTACCATCATACAGCAACTGAAAAAAAAACAAAAAATCAACAATACGTTTTCGACCGCGTGTTCTAAACCGCAGTATCATCATCAACATCCTATAAGTGGCAACTGCTGACCAAACGCCTATTCTCGAACGGAGATGGTTTGACCATTAATCACCTGGCTTGTGGGTTGGCGATTTTAAACTTAAAATTAGATAATTATAAGCTTAGGTTATTGGAAGTCATTGAGGGAGGCCTATGTTCAGCAGTGGATGTACTGTGGCTGATATGATGACGATGATGATGCTTAGGTTTCCTCACGATGTTTTCCTTTACGGTTTGTCAGTGGTAAATAATCTTAGACAGTAGTTAGGTATAGATATAACTCACTCACACACTCTAATGCATGAGAAAAAAGTGTCTTAAACCTCCAACCCACCACTAATATACACGATTAATCGCAGTTTGGATGTTCTCTATACCTACTGTGCCTAAAACTTAGTCAAGAATTACAATAGCGATTGACAAAAAAAAACTGTCTGGTATTTTTTGATTTATCGCGATGTTACAGACGGACGGAAACGAAAGGGAACCCCGTAATGTAAGATTAGGTACCTTATAATAGTTTTATGTAGACCCTAGCTTCGATGTGGGGTAACTTAGGCAGTGGTGCATCTGGTATATCAGCGTATTTGATGGCGTATATACTCTTGTACCCCAATCGTTCAGCTGCGCGCCCTGAGTAAAACGACGTTGCGTCCATGCGTATAGCACATGCATGCACTTTTTTAGCAATACATCTAAAATATAAAACAATGCTCCTAAAGATGAACATTTAAATAGAGGAGACAAGTACAACAATCATCAAATTCCTAAAAGGCCGATAACGTTTTTGTAACGTCTCTGGTATTCCAGGTGTCCATGAGCGACGGCGATTGTTTACCATCTGGTGATTCGTATGCTCATTTACTGGCTTATCCTCTGTTTTTGTGAATTTATCGTTTGTGTAATAGTTATATCTACCAAGTAGACACAATTTGAAAGTACCCAAAAAACTTTAAATAGGATTTAATCCCTTTGGATTGTGTCCGTTTGGATAATGACTCCACGTAACGTAGAATAAACTGCCTTGCCAAAATAGATTATTAAGATATTACCCCGAGCACCGAAAAAAATAAGTAATAGGTAAAAGTAGGCACTCATTACTTTAATAAATTTATTCTTACTCTGATTCTTTGGCTAGTGCTTCCATGACGCGTCGTTTTCTCCAATTCGGATGCACAGATGCCATCGTAAGATCCATTACCATATTACAACTACTTGGCACTTTTTCCCAGAGTTGAGACTTTTCCCGCATATACATTAGAACGGCTAGAATACGTCTAAATTTAGGATTAGCACAGTTCTCCGCTGCTTCTTTACAGCCAGTATCCTGTGTGGAAATGTAAATTATTTTGACGAACATGCAACAATCGTTTGAATCTTTGGACAATGTATCAAATCTCAATTCAACTTGAGGCTGATTCGAATTGAGTTCAAGACTAATAATTCACCACTTTAGAGTCTAAGAAACGACTCAAGACGACGCCAAAAATTGGCGGAATAAGCAAAAAGCTACTTCCAAAATTGTGAAAGTCGTTCGGTGATGACAAGTGTCCATGCCGGTCAATTACCTAAGTTGCTGATGAAAAATATGTCCTAATATTGTTTTGATTGATTTAAGTCTCCCTTGCCTCCCGCTGTGTAAGTATCATTGGGAACTTAGGGTACTTTCCAAAAAAGCCCTAAGATAAGATCCATCTTTAATCAATGCTCACATTTCTATGCATGGTCGCATTGATGACGACTCCCACCAGCTCTTCATTTTCATCAACAGCGCTTAATGAGAATCCTTCATCAATAGCACTGCTCACACTTTGCTCAGCTTCCACACATCGGTCATCTGGACCGTTTATAAGTTTCACTGCTTGGGATATCGGCTCGTCGCGCATGAAATATCTAGAAAAATGTTTAGTAGATACTCTTACATTTGCATAGAAACTTTTAAGAACGGTCATACCCAGTCGCCCTGAGGATTGCCACTGGAGGCAAATGGGAATAAAAATTCTCGGTCGACACCGGTGCGATAGTGGCTGGGAAGTCATTGCCCCCACTGCAGTTTCGCTGTACATTGCTTTCTCCATCGTAAATAAAGGATGAGGCAACTTATCCCGTTCGTTGTTAGTAATTCCATGGTGATTGGACGAATCAACGATATGAGCCTCGAAGATTTACGGATTTATGCTATTTCTTCATAATTTGTTTTACATCTTTTATAATTATGTATGTACCTAGACTATAAATGAACTAAACCGAACTTAGAGAGAAACAGTTAAGCTGATGATTTTTTAAATCGTATATTACTGATTCAAACATTATTTCTTACTTTCTTAGAAATTCAATGACACGTTCTTTATCCTTTGCTTCGATTTTTCTGATGTGGAATGTTGTATCTTTGTTCATGCTGAGGTGCCTCCATGAATGCTCTTTCTGGTTCTAAAATAGCGTGATCTTGAGAGAAGAAAATTGGTATGGAATCATGAAACATTTTTAAAAATAATTGTGAAGTGTTACTTACTAGTTCTTGCCTTTGAATGTGATTCTTTTTTCTGAAATCAAAGGCTTCTTTATGTGGAATTATGTTGCTGATTTTTCTTGTGAATTCATAATTAACAACACGTTTACAAACACGTAGTAATACCATAGCTCCTCAAGGACAAGAAAATTGTGAAAGTACCTACCTATTTATTGTTTTTAATTTAAAACGAAAAGTGTAAAAAAGGATTTTGTTGTACATGAATAATGTCTCAATTGTCAAATGATTACATATTTTCTTCCACAGTCAAATGAGTCAAGTGATCCCCTATACTCTTTGGTCAAGTGGGTAATTGCAACGATCTGTCCCATAAGTATAAAATCCTTTTTGAATAGTAAAATAGAAATACAACCGCTTCTTGCCGTTACCAAGCCGTTGCTTGGCCCATACTACAACTTTTACACAAGGAATTTGAAAAAAACGGACCTTTTTTCTTCGTCCTTACTTTTTCAAGTAATCGGGAACTGGGTTCCCCTTATACTCTTTGGAACTGGGTGTGGTCTATGGATTCTTCTATACACACAGACGACGTAGATAGTCAGATAATAAGTTCTTCTTTGTAATAATTCTTTGATACTGCTATAATACTTCCTTATTATGTCTATGCTATAGACAAGGGTATTAGTGTGTTAGTAAGTAAAGACTAGGTAGGTACGCAAAAATATGTTAATGTTATAAAAACAATAAAGAGAATTAAAATATTTTATTAATTGAGACAAAATAATATATTTACAAACTACATCACAATAAATTGATCAAGATAAATCTATAATCATAATTTCGAGAGAGAACATTAATTAAATATAAGTAAACATAAACATTGGTTTGAATAGTCAACAGGTTTAACCTTAAAAGTATTGTGACCATTTTCTTTTTTTTCATTTAATACATTATTAATGGTATAACACCTACATTGCATTGCTTAAGTTTTTAAAATCACTAGGTGACTACACTTCGTTACGTACAAATCCAATAAGTAGTTCAAATAGGAAGGTACTAAACGTCCAGCGTCTATTCCACTAAACTATTTTCCGAATTATGTGTAAGAATTATCCAACTTTCAATAACATTACATTAATTAACACTAAATTACAAGGAACTACAAATACACAACTAAGCTACATAACGAGAGAGCCTGCTAAAAGTATTACATCAATCACTTTCCAAGATACATGTTGCTATTATATTTAACTAGGCACCGCCAAATAAATCTATTTAAATTATGGAATGGAAGTAACTGCGATGCCTGTTTAAAATATATGTTTTTGACAATACAATAACATGCAGAAAAATGTATTACTGTTTTTTTCTTAAATTAAATTCACAAGAAGACTTGGAGAATGCCTTATCTCGTTTGTTCGGATCTGTTTTCATATTCCTATCTTTACCAGGTACATAATATAGGTACATGATCACATAAAAATAATATAAAATAGTTCCTACACTAGGTGTTGTGCTTTTCTACCGCATTAATTTTCTATACGTGCAATAAATGTGCAGTAGATAGAGCTGATTTTGTTCTTTGACATTCATCTTCTTGTTGTGAAAATTCTGTAAAGAGAAAATTTTTATTCTTAATTTTACTTTAATCTACAAAAGTTTTTCATCTGTTGTTTCAAATATAAAAAATGGTAGCTAGATATCTTTTCTGTTTGCATTGATCCAACTAGTTACCATGATGTGGGCTATTCATTGCAGACGAGACATTAGCGTGCTTACTCTTGAAGCCAATCCCAATGTCAATGCAATTTCAATCCAATAAATCTCAATAATTATTCAATGTCAAAACTATACGACCCCAATAGTAGCTGTTAAAATAGCATTCAGAATACGGAATATAAAGCTAAACTCAATACTATTTAGTTCATGAAATATCCATTCAATACGGATGCAATGGGCGCTAGTGTTGCAAGTCAAGAGTAAGAAATTTCACATCGTCAATGTCGATCGATCGGAATTGGATTCAAGAGTAAGCCCCCAGATATCAGGGTTTTATTGTAAGAAGCACTATGTATTAGCGCTATTAACAGTAGGGGTATCTAAAACCCGTAACAACTCATATTTACGCCCCAAAAGGCCGGGAATGCACGGGCGACGCCGATTGCTTACCATCAGGTGATCCGTCTACCCGTTTACCGGCTTATGCCATAAAAAAATCTATAATTTATCATGCCCTACCTTACAGCGGCTTGATATAAACACTGGCAGAAAAATGTGGTGCTTTAGGTTGTGGTGCATCAGGCAGGTCCTTGTACAGCACGGAGTAGACTTTCTTGTATCCCAGCCGCTCGGCCGCGCGAGCGGAGAAAGCCGATGTAGCGTCCATGCGGATGACGCCAGCACCGTGTGTCTTCGCGATACGCCTGTAAAGTAGAAGAGGTAGTCGTTAGAATTATTAAGTTATAGGGCTTTTTAATCAATTTTAGGAAGCCGGGACTTAATCCTCTCAAGGTTTTAACATTTGGAGACAAGGTGGGCACTATTGCTGTAGAGATTTTTAATTAATTCACCCATGAGCTGTATTGTAATTTATCCTTATAAAAATTAGAACATAACTATCAAATATTCAGGACCTAAACCTTTCTTATACTTACATCTATACAGATAAATAAAATTATCGTGTATGTTCGTAATATTAAAATAACCGCTTTTTACTACATGCATATGAATTTGCATATGATACACATACCAAAATATATTTTTTTAGAATTTTTTGTCTGTCTGTCTGTCTGTTTGTTTGTACTGGCTAAACTGACTAATCTCTGGAATGGCTGGACCGCTTTTGTAAGACTTTTATTTGCAAGCAGCTGATGTACTAAGGAGTAACATTGGCTACTTTTATTTTGGTAATTGAAACAAAAACAGTTATGTTCTAAAATTCATATTTTACTCGGACGAAGTCGCGGGGAACAGTTAGTATATAGTAATCTAAATATTACTCAAAGTATCTCCTTTCTTTTACCCCTGATAAAAAGATATATTTTTATTTTCAGACGAAATATTCGACTGTAGACGAAAACCAGTAAACAAGCTAGGTGCCAAATTGAGTAAGCATGCAGATCGCGGAAGGGCACACATCTAATTATTTCGCAAATGTCGCTTTGACAAATTAACTACACAATAAAATAAGCTAATAATGAAGTCTATTAAAATAATAATAGCAATCCAATTGTGTAACTGAATATTTTTTGTTACATTTAATGGTTAACACAAAGGAACTGTAGTAATTTACGTGCTATGACATATTTGATATTAAAATTATTGTGGTTCTTCCTAGTTATCTGTAGTAAAGAATATAACAATATATTTTTTAATCACAACACCGTGAAGGAAGCAATCTTACGTGTAATTACTAATTATATAAGTGTGCATGACGTTGGTACCTAGCAAATTGAAATTTATTTTATTTTAAGCAAATAATAATCCCTTTTGTCTACGGAATACAATTTACTGTCTTCCGTGCTGTTGTTCGTTATACTATATGTATATTTTGTACATAAGGAAACATCTTGAAAACATAAATAAAGTTTTATTCTGATTCTGAAAAAAGAAACATGGTGACTTTTGACTTAACCCCTCGAGCGTCCTTATGAGCACCCGGTGGATCATAAGAAAAAATGCTCCAAGCTGTTTTCTCTTTTATGAAATCTATTATTAATGTTTTGTTTTTATTTATAACTGTATTTTTTATTTTATTGTAATAATCCTTGTTTTCGTGTCATAATGCCCAAATAAATGCATTTTCTTTCTTTCTCCAAATGTCACGTGTGCACCCGTTGGATCATAAGGAACGCGGACGCTCGACGGGTTAAATATTATCCAAAGTTATTGAACATTTTATGGCTTTATTATTTTGAAGAACTCACTGCTTACCGGCAGACAATTAAAAATACATACATACTTAAATATATTCTAAACTAATTGGTAACACTGATTCTTACGCCAGAATATTGAAAGGCTACTACTCAATTTTAAGTTGTAAATATCGCGCAATCTCTGTCATTTTACAAAGAATTTGTAGTAACGGAACTATACATAAGGGCGACGACTGACGTTTGAGTATTTCAGCGTTAGTGGTTCAATATTTTGAACGAATTAGAAATGTTTATAGAATTTTCTTTTGGTACTATCATAGCTAACCATAAATACCCCACATGCAGTCCAGTAAAATTGTTTATCATTAAATGGTACATTACATAAACATTGAGTAACACATGTCACAATCGCCTTAACCATGATGTTCTATTTATTTCAATTGGACGATCAACAAACATGCATGGGTGCCACTCTGTTACATGTCTTATGTCAAGATTCAAGATCAAACCGTTGTTTTCATAATGGAGGTCAAGAAAATATTAGAAAACCAAGGGCAAATTGTAGTAAACAAGGATATGTTTAGTAACGGTAAAATTGGATGAATAGGGATCGAGAGGTGAATAGGGATAGAAGCGGGGTTAATCGATACTAAGACGAATTTCTCAATTCTTTTCCTGTATTCACTAATCTATCACTAATTGAATGTCTTTGCAGAGCTTCCGAAAAAAGGCTAATGATCGTTTTCGTAAATAAAATTAAATTTTAAACAACCATTAAGCTAAGATGTGACACTTAACAACATGTGATACCTTAAAGTAAGGGTTAGTTTTGGTATGTGCTCCTTATTCCCTCATGCTAAGTAAGTCTTAATTAAGAGATGGTTTATGTGCAGTGGGTTAATTTGGTTATTAGTGTTTTACCGGTTCTTTTTTCTACAGCTGTGTCTCATATGCAGAAAGTCCTAGGAGTATCTTAAGGATTTATTGTTTTATTTTTGTCACCCAACTGTTTTACTTTCGTAAATGTACGTGTGCATTAAATTGCCATCAAGTACTACGAATTAACTGGGTCTCGTGACGAGCTCGTCCTAGCGATGCGATGCTGTAACAATTACAGACATTACACAATACACGCGCCACATTGTTATTGTTCCATATTTAATGTTACAAGGAATTAATGTAAGGTTATTTTCAAGTTAATATATTACATACTAGCTTCTGTCAGCATCGCTGCGTTCCCTTGGGTTAAAAGGTAGTCTGGTTGTTATTCCAGACCATAGTATCCCCTTGTTC